ATCCATAAACATATGGAAGGCTCCACTTTACTCACTCCTGATTTAATGCCATTGCTTCTGCTCTTCCATAAGAATAAATTAATCAAAATGTATAAGTTACTTCAGAGATGGCACTGTCCAAATGTGGCACAGTACCTTACAACTGGGCTTAAGCGTTTCCAACACACAACTATTTTTGGCCCAAGTATATAGGTATATAAAATAGGTATGAAAAGCAAACATTTACTGTTAATAAACAAGCATTTGTAAGCCTTGATAAACGGGCTGATTTTTCCTTTTTGGGGAGTACAGCTGAAGCATTTTTGTCAGAGACTACTGTAAACACTGTTGTTTCTAACAGATTTGTATAAATGGGCAGCATTCGGAAAACATTTAGTGTTGGCAAAAATTTTGTGACCCCCAACACTGAGTTACGGGGACCCCATTTGGGGTCAATACTTACTGTTTCAAGAGCCTTCAAAGACATTTACTTGGCCACATGTTATATGAGATATGAGGCAAGTAAGAATGTACAAGTATAGCAATACAGCTGCAGTTATTTGATTGTTCTGGATCACTTTACCTTGGATTTCAATGTTAGCACAGACCTAGTCTCAATTCTTCATAGTGCACTGAGTTAAACACAGAGCATGGTTGTGGTGACCCAAATCACTTTAAAGGGGACAATGACTTAGAAACCATCAGTGCCTTTGTGATAGGAGATATTCTGTATATTATTTCCAGAACAGAAAGCAAGTATTTATTTATCGTGTCAGAAGCAAATTGAGAATACAGTTATAATGTATAAAAAACACAAATTTAAAACTTGGCATTATGCTAGATTTCCTTTGACTAGAAGCTGACCACTTGGAATGTATCGCGTGTAGCTGTAAGGAGGTCCTCCATTGTGCATGTGGCAGGGCTCATACTGCATTGTAGAAGGTAGTCTGTGGTTTGCTCTTTTCCACACTTGCATTTCATGGACTCCTCTTTGTAGCCCCATTCCTTAAGGTTGGCTCTGCATCTCGTGGTGCCAGAGCACAATCTGTTCAGTGCCTTCCAAGTCACCCAGTCTTCTCTGTGCCCAGGAGGGAGTTTCTCATCTGGTATCAGCCACTGCTTGAGGCTCTGCATTTTAACCTGCCACTTCTGGACTCTCGCTTGCTGAGGTGTTCCTGCAAGCATCTGTAGATCTTAGGAAGCTGTTTCTTGATTTAAGACGTTGGCTTGCTGGCTGATATCCAAACAGGTGATGGGCTGGAGATGTCAATGCCTTGGTCCTTTAACTGCTGGCTGCTAGTTCCCGGTGGATATCAGGTGGTGCAATACCGGCTAAACAATATAATTTCTCCAACAGTGTTGGGCATACATATCCTGTGATAATGTGGCATGTCTCATTAAGAGCCACATCAACTGTTTTAACGTGGTGAGATGTATTCCATACTGGGCATGCGAACTCAGCAGCAGAGTAGCAAACCGCAAGGGCAGATGTCTTAACAGTACCTGGTTGTGATCCCCAGGTTATGCCAGTCAGATTTCATATGATATTGTTTCTTGCACCCACTTTTTGCTTGATAGTCAAGCAGTGCTTTTTCTAAGTCAGAGCACAGTCCAGACTAACTTCCAGGTATTTGGGTGTGCTGCAGTGCTCCAATGGGATTCATTCCCAGGTAATCCTGAGCTCGAAATGCTTGTCAGTTCTTAAGATAAAAAGCACACGTCTGTGTTTTAGGTGGAGTAGGAATCAGCTGGTTTTCTTTGTAATAGGCAGTAAGAGTGCCTAAAGCTTTGGGGAGCTTTAGGCACTCTTACTGCCTATTACAGCTTGAGTGGTGATGGCACAATTGTCAGTATAGATGAAATTCTGTCCCTACTGGCAATAAGCAAGTAAGCCTCTGTATATTAATGGCTGAAGAACACAAGTTCCCACAATCATTTTAAATCTAGCTGCCTATTGTGGGAAGAGAATAAAGGATTGGGTGTACTTGGGCTGTTTATGTGACCTAGTATATCAGCATGATTTTTCTTGCAGACTGCAAGTGAATACTGGATTGTTGTGTCCAGGCTAAATGGGGCTTTGTGTGTGTGTGTGTGTACACACACCATGAGAAATTACGGTGTATGACACCACATTCACTTGCAGAAAATAGCGAAGACTTTTAGAAAATACTGATGAAAATGAAAGAAGTTCAAAAGCGACATGACAACTGAATACTATGAAGACACAGATTATTCTCCACACCTTTGCTCAATCATTAATCAAAATGAGGAATGGTGCCAAGAAACCAGAAGACTTGGAAGTGTGGCCGTGAAGGAACCTGATAAGACCCTCAAGCCTAAAGATGTATTATTAAACATCAAAGTCAGAATAATCCAGATCAAAATGGTTCTTAAGGCTGATAGGAAGAAAATCAACACATTTGAAATTTGGAGAAGAGTCCTGAGAGCTGGCATAGAGTTGCTGTTCTTAACTGCCGTCAGTCAATTTTGACTTTGACCTCAAGTCCCTCTATTGCCAGCCTCCTTAAAAATCTTGCTGACTCAGGACTGTGGCTTCCTTTAGTAAGAACCTATCTGGAATGTTGTCCGCTTTTTCCTATTGCCTTCTAACTTAACAAGCATTATTGTCTTTTTTAGTGAGCCATGCCTTTTCATGATATGACCAAAATGGTTTCCGTTTATTCATCGAGTGAGAGTTCAGGCTTGATTTCTTCTATGTGTTATTGATTTGTCTTTTTAGCAATCCATGGTGTCCACAGAATTTTTCTTCTGCACTTTTCAAACAGAATGATATTCTTCCTATCAGTTTACCCACTGTTCAGCGCCCTTCGTTCTTCAGTTTTCACAACTGTACATAGAAGTGGGGAATACAATGCCATGGTCAATCCTAAGATACAATGATCTATTTTACACATCAGAAGTTCCTTCATAGCTGTCTTCTTCTGATATCTTGACTGCAGACGCCATCCTGAATATCGACCGAGCCAAAGTATGGAGAATCTTTATTTCAATGTCTTTGCTTATTTCTAAGTTATATAGTTGTCATTATTTTTAGTTTGCTTCATGTTCAACTGTAAATTTGCCTTTGCACTTTTGTCCTTGATTTTCTGCAATATTCATTCCAAGTTCTTGCAATTTTTTGCTGGTAGTATGGTATAATCTGCCTATCTTAACTTTTTGATGTCCCCTCCCTAAAGAAATTAGATCGGCCCCCACTCGAGTTCAAAAACATGGCTTTTCAGACAGGCCTTTGACCCTGTATAATCTATGATCAGCTCGAGGACCGAGTCACTCTGCACTTTGATTTGTTACGGCAAATAGCCAGCTTTATTTGCAGATTCTACTGTGGTTTAGGAAAATTTATAATATTTTACAATTTTTATAATCTTATCAGTTGGGTTTTTATGTGCATTGTTGCTTTAATATTTATCTCACTTTATATACTACCTATGTACTGTTGTTTATAAGCACTTGGGGTGTTTCTGTGAGCCGCTCCGAGTGGTGGTGGGAAGATTTAGACCAGGGGTCCTCAAACTAAGGCCCGAGGGCCAGATACGGCCCTCCAAGGCCTTTTACCCGGCCCTCACTCAGGGTCAACCAAGTCTGAAATGCTATCAAAGCATGCAACAACAACAGTCCTATCTGATCAGCCAAAAGCAGCCCCACACTTCCCACTGAAATACTAATATATTTATATTTGTTAAAATTGTTCATTTTAATTATTTATTTATTTATTTATTTACTCCATTTGTATACCGCATTTATCAGCCTGCGACGGCGACTCAATGCGGTTTACAGTAAAAAAGGGGAACACTGACAATATATAAGACGCACATACACAAACAACATACAAAGTCATCAACGCCTCAATTAGAATCAGATCCCGTTCTCATAGTCCTTTTTCGTTCCTTGTTCAATGCCGTCTTACTGAGTTAGTTGTCATTGCATAGTTGTCCAAACGCCTGCTCATAGAGCCACGTCTTAACCCTCCTCCGAAACACCAGCAACGAAGGGGCCTGCCTGATGTCCACTGGTAGGGCATTCCATTTATTGTATTGTTTTTAAGTGTTTTTTGCGCTATAAATAAGATGTGTGCCGTGTGCATAGGAATTCATGTTTTTTTTTCAAATTATAATCCGGCCCTCCAACAGTTTAAGGGAATGTGACCTGGCTCCCTGTTTAAAGAGTCTGAGGACCCCTGGTTTAGACCACTTGGCATGGAATGACCCCTTTGGCAGAAAAGATCTTGTAAAACTACAGCTCCCACAAAGCCAAAGCATTGAGCCCTGGCATTTATGTGGTGCCAAACTGCATTAATTCTACAGTGTAAATGCACCCCTTGTTAAGGGGTTTCTGTTGTGTCCAATTCTGGGCACCACAATTCAAGAGAGATGTTGACAAGCTGGAATGTGTCCAGAGGAGGGCAACTAAAATGATAAAGGGTCTGGAGAACAAGCCCTATGAGGAGCGGCTTAAAGAGCTGGGTATGTTTAGCCTGAAGAAGAGAAGGCTGAGAGGAGATATGATAGCCATGTATAAAAATATGTGAAGAGGGAGCGAACTTGTTTTCTGCTTCCTTGGAGAATAGGACGCAGAACAATGGCTTCAAACTACAAGAGAGGAGATTCCATCTGAACGAGGAAGAACTTCCTGACTGTGAGAGCCGTTCAGCAGTGGAACTCTCTGCCCCGGAGTGTGGTGGAGGCTCCTTCTTTGGAAGCTTTTAAACAGAGAGTGGATGGCCATCTGTCAGGGGTGATTTGAATGCAATGTTCCTGCTTCTTGGCAGGGGGTTGGACTGGATGGCCCATGAGGTCTGTTCCAACTCTTTTATTCTATGATAAGGCCTGAAGGCTTTGGCTGTGCCCTTACGGTAATGCTGCGCCAGGGCCTGCACTTACGGTAGCGGCGCGGGTGGGAGGGAGGGAGAAAGGAGGGGGAGAGAGGGAGAGCGGGAGCGCGAAGGGGCGTGGCTAGACCATATAAGGCGCGGGGCGGGGGCGGGGCAGCGTGGCGTTGCGTGCTCGACCCCGCGAGGCGCGTCCCCGGCCCCTGCCTCGCGAGCCTTGCTGAAAGGATTTGGCGCCAGGCGGGTCCTTCCTTCCTTGCTTGCTTCCTTCCTTCTCCGCAGCCCCCCAGGAAGGTGATCCGGGCCAGCCGCCGACGTCCAGGCCGCACTCCGCTAGAGCCCCCGCCGCCCACGGAGAGGCCCCCGCCGCCATCGCCATGAGCAGCTCGCCGGTGAACGTGAAGAAGCTGAAGGTGTCGGAGCTCCGCGAGGAGCTGAAGAAGCGGCGCCTCTCCGACAAAGGCCTCAAGGCCGACCTGATGGAGCGGCTCCAGACGGCGCTGGACCGCGAGGAGGCCGGCGGCGGAGGCCTGGCCGAGCCGGGCAACGGCAACGCCGAGGAGGAGGAGGGCGGCGCGGCGGGCGGCGCCTCGGAGCAACTCCTGGCCCCGGCAGCAGGCGGCGGGCCCGGCCAGGCCGCGGCCTACGACGACGAGGAGGAGGAGGCCGAGTTCGGCGGCTGCGCGGAGGAGGAGGACGACGAGGAGGAGGGCATGGAGGTGGGCGAGGAGAACGGCGAGCGGGCCGCCGCCCGGGAGGAGGACTTGGAGGAGGAGGACGAGGACGAGAACGGCGACGACCAGGGCTTCCAGGAGGGCGAGGACGAGGAGGACGAGGCCGCCTCAGCCGCCGCGCCGGCCGGCAGCGGGACCGGGGGCGGCAATGCCAACGGCCACGGGGCCAAGGAGGCTCCCGGCGCCAAGGCAGCCGCGCCCGAGGCCTCCGCGGCTCCGGCGCCTTCGGCCCAGACCGGCGCGAAGCAGGCCTCGTCCGGGGCTCAGTCGCAATCGCAGCCGGCGGCGCCGCCTCAGCAGCAGCAGGCCCAACAGCCCAAGCCCGGAGGGCCCGCGCCGCGTCCTGGGGGTGAGTCGTGCGTGGGGCCCGGATGGGCGTCGGCGGTTGGCGCCTCGGAGCGGGGTCAGGGCGAGGCGCCATCTTGGCTTTTCCCCCCTTTCCCTCCTGTTTCTGTGAGGAAGAGAAAGGGGGGGGGGAAACTAGGCCTCGCGCGCCAAGAGGCGCCTGTAATGGTGGTGGTGGGAGGGGGGAGGGGCTTCCGCCATTTCGCGCGCGCAGGGTGGGGGGGGGGAAGGAGAGAGAGCGCGGCGCGCAGGAGCCGCTGGGGCGCGCTGTGGAGCCCTGCGAGGAGGGATCGCTTTCTGCCGCTTGCGTCACTTCCGCCCGTGAGGCGCTGCGGGCTCTGGTTCAAACCTTGAGCACAAAAGGAGGCGGGGGAGTCCATGGAGAGGCAGCGCCTGTCGGAAGCCCCCGCTAGAGGGCGCCCTGACGCCACGCGGGATTTGATTTTCTGTCTTGTCGAAAGCTTTCATGGCCGGAATCCCTAAGGTTTTTGAGTAGTATGGCCATGTTCCAGAAGCATTCTCTTCTGGCGTTTCGCCTGCATCTATGGTCTCACAGCCATGCCTGCCATAGATGCAGGCGAAATGTTAGGAGAGAATGCTTCTGGAACATGGCCATGCAGCCGGAAAACTTTGAGCAACCCATTTTTTCTGTTGTTTGCGTGAATTAATTGCATGGCTTCCAACGTTCCCTTTTTTTCCCCTCCCGCAAAAAGATAATAAAGAGGCCAAATCTGAGCAAAAATCCGGAGAGAAAAAAAGGGGAGTGAAAAGGCCGCGCGAAGACCATGGACGAGGTTACTTTGAGTATATTGAGGAGAATAAATACAGCAGGTAAATATAGTAATACACAATTCTTGATATACATATATCCATATATTTTTATATATATTCATATACATACATATATATTCATATACATACATATATTTTAATTGTGTGTGTATATATATACACATACATACATTATATATATAAAATATGTATTTTTAGTTCATATATAATATATATTTTTCATTTTTAAAATCCCTATTGATGGATTGTATTCAAGCGATTTCCTTTATTGGTTAGGGCCAAATCTCCGCAGCCACCAGTTGAAGAAGAGGATGAACACTTTGATGACACAGTGGTTTGTCTTGATACTTGTAAGTACAAAAGAAGTGTTCTTGTCTCTTCAAATACATTTTTCAGGATGACTACAGTAATGTATTCAACAGTTGCTTTTATATATTTGTATATATGGATAATATGATCATAGCAGGCATAATTTCAGCTGTAGTTCATATACTTAATATTTTAGGATGTTAGCCTGCTTTTAGTCACATTAGAGCAGGCAGGGGAAAACTTTGGCCCTCCTGGACTTCAACTCCCACAATTCCTAACGACCTCAGGCCCTTTTCCCCCTCAGCTGCTTAAGCTTGAGTGGCTGAAGGGGAAAAGGAAAGGGCCTGAGGCTGTTAGGAATTGTGGGAGTTGAAGTCCAAAACACCAGGTGGGCCAAAGTTTTCCCCTGCCTGCATTAGTCTGTTCATACTAGTGTAAAAGTCATACTAGGTCTAAAAGGCAAAGCATGAAATGAAGAATGTATATTGTCAAACCAGATTTCCATTCTGTACTTTTCCAAAAGAGCTGTTGAAAAAATAAGTTGCCTGAAAACAGCAGATTTTATCTTGTCTTTTCTGATCAGTGTTATGTGCTGGTAGGATTCCATCTGTAATGCAAATATCTTAAATTCTGAGCTTTGCACATTGTTTAAAAACTAGAATTCTGTCAAGTATGTGGAAAAAATGGCAGGTGTAGAGTTACTCTATAGAACAGGGGTTTGAAGTCTTGACCCTGGAAACCCATTGGGTGACCTTGAGCAAGTTGTATACTCTAGAAGCCCCAGAAGGTGGCAAAGGCAAACTCGCTTCAATAGAGTATTTACCAGAAAAGCCCAGTGATGCATTCATTTTCATTAGGATTTCCACAAGTCATTAATGACTTGAAAGCACAGAATGATTTTAAGAAACAAAAGCATGATACCATATTGTTTTATCAAGAGGCCTAAATCCAAAGTTAGAAATAGGAAGTTTCATTACTGGGCAATTCAGAATAGAAAATTCCAGTACTTCGCATCATGGATTGTGAAGGTAAATTTCATAACTTAAGGAAATTAGTGGTATGATTGGGTTTTGTTAAAATAATAGAAAATTGTTTTTCAAAACTGGTGTGTTAAAGGATCATTGAATTGATAATCCAGCAAGACATTTATACTATGATCCGAATTCTGGAGTGGAACTTTGAAGATCTGGTTCAAGATTTCAATGAACCACAAAACTGTTTATGGAGTAGATGTTCTTTTAATCTGACCTTCACTTAGTGCTTGTGAGGATAAAATAAGACTGACAGTGGTATAAATTAGTTACTGAATTAAACATTTATTTATTTACTGCATTTATATCCTGTCCTTACCCTGAAGGGAACTTAAGGTGGCTCACAAAAAAATTATGCCATATATCTACTTGTTCTGTATTTTCAGTCCTTTAAGTCATAATCCAAACAAAGTAAAAATTTTAGAGAGATTTATTTTTATGAAATCTTATTAATAGTATGCAAACACTTTTGGCATGGATCCAATATTGCTTCATCACAGAATCCAATATTGCTTCATTCCAAACCCGCCAAGAACAGCAGTTTCAACATGTTAAGCTAGGCATACCTGGAGATAAACTTGAATAGGACTCAATGCAAATTTTAATTAAAAACAATAGGGTTGAGCTGCAAACTGTCCTGGCAAATCAAATTGATCTATTATATTTAGTCTTAAGAATGTGTACTCCTCTTGCAAGTTCCATGCCATGTTTACTAGTTTTTAAAATACATACGGTGTTCACCTGTTTATACAACAGATTCATTGCCAAAATCTTTCAGTTGCAAGTTGAGGAAACCTACATCAATGGAGAAGCTAGGAAAGGCAGAACAATTTTTGGTGCTACAGAAGCCAAATAATTGTGTAGTTCTGCCTTTAAAAATCCAGTGAGATATTTACTTCTAATCACTGGTTCATTTTCTGTCTGTGTCATAATACTGTTTAATAGTGCATTTGTCTTATGTTTATCATTAATTTATCTGGCTCTGTTCAGGCACTTTTATATAAAGTGACAATCTCTCAAGGCATTGAGATCCTTGTTCATTCTAAGTCATAGGTTTCAAAACAAGATTATTTGGCATATGCAGATAATACACTAATATACTAGCTTAGGATTTGTTTGTTTTTTAGTTATTTTTGGAGAACACCATCTCACACCACATATTTTAAGGTAGAGTTGGCCATACTAAATGCTTGTTGGAAGTTTGTTTTACCTGAACCCCCAATTCACTGGTTAGAGCCAGTTGCCAGACCTTCATGTTTTGTGTGTGTGTTGTGGAGTGCCTTGAGAAACTGCAAGTCCTTTCTGGTGTGAGAGAATTGGCAGCTGCAAGGCCGTTGCCATGCAGGTGGCTGGATGTTTTACCATCCTGTGGAAGGCTTCTCTCATGCACCCTATCCCCATGGGAAGCTGGAGCTGACAGATGGGAACTTGTTTTTATAAATGCTGTCTGTTTTATATTGTAATGTAATGAAACAAACTGGGTTTTTCTTTTTTTGACAGACAACTGTGATCTACACTTTAAAATTTCAAGAGACCGTTTTAGTGCTTCCTCACTGACTATGGAAAGCTTTGCCTTTCTTTGGGCTGGAGGAAGAGCATCCTATGGAGTTTCCAAAGGAAAAGTCTGTTTTGAGATGAAGGTAAACCAGATTAATACTGATTAGTAATGCCCCAGTGCTGCCTTTGAAAACTAATGGTGACAGATAGCTCACAAAGATCAAGGTGGACAAGATATTATTCTGTCTAAGATTGTCCTAAAGTAAGTAAAAGTGTGCTATTTTATAAAAGTGCTCCGATTTACATCCTTTTGTTGACAATAGCACCTGTGTAAAAAAAGGGGGGAACAGCAGCAGGCCTCTGATGCCTTAAGGTTCTCAGAAGCATAAAATCTCAGAAATCTTGCCTTATCTGGCAAATACTAAACATTGCACTGCAATGATTGGGTATGATGTAGTAAACACAGAATATAGGCTGATTGAATAAAGCTTACTATACTGGAAAAGGGCTTGACTGTTTATCTGGAATGGAAGGAATCTGCATTTTCTTGCAGGTCTCATGTATGAACTTTTCTGGTCTAAGAAATCTATTCACCTTTATTTGATCTTGTATATATTTGTTCAGAATTATGGCAAGGCTTTATATTTATTGCTAGAGGTGTGCTTTCTGCTAAAATGCTTTTTTGAAAAATAGGTAACTGAAAAAATCCCTGTCAAGCATCTCTATACAAAAGATATTGATATACATGAAGTGAGAGTTGGCTGGTCGCTGGTCTCAAGTGGGATGTTGCTTGGTAAGGAGTGTTTTTACTTTCTGTTGAGGTGGTAGATACAGCTCTTGGATGCACAACAAACAAAATGAGGTGGTGACTTTTTGTAGTTATAAAAAACTTGTTCGTGTTTCAGTATGATATTACAGCATGATATTGACATTATAGCCTCATCGCACCTTTGAAATCCATTCAAAACTATTGGATGAGTCGATTCTAAAAACATGTAAACAACTGGTGGTGGTTACTTGATCACAGTTGTTATCATGAGGCAAGCAGTTTGGGGAGACAGTTTTCTGAAAAGTAATGGACCATTTAAAAGTAGTCCTCTTAGAATATATATGCATGGATTATATGTCTTCAGAAGCATACTGTTTAAAGAGGGAAAGGTTTTTCAGGGTGTTGTCACTGGTATACTATATTCCTTAAATAAATTAGAGGTAAAATGATTGTCACGTTTGTCCATCCTGCCTCCAATTTTAATCTGTTTGGTGAGCTCAGGGCCGAGGACTAGCAGCTGCCAGAGACAATGTTAGCTTTGTGTGGCTGACTGGAAAAAAGTGGGGTCAGAATATTTACTAGTGGAAAAAAGTGGAGTGATACCATGCACAGAGACCCACCTGAATAGGAAGGAAGTAATAGGACAGTGTTGATGGGAGAAGCTGTTTCCTGAAGTCCTATGCATATGTTCTCACGTCCACTTGCCCAGAGTGCAGGGGGTATGGGAACAAGGAGATAAGCTGACTAGTGTGTTTCACAAACCTCTGCACTCATCAACTGTTAATATTTATCAGGTGAGGAAGAACTTTCTTATGGATACTCCTTGAAAGGAATAAAAGCATGCAACTGTGAGATGGAAGATTTTGGTGAGAAATTTGATGAAAATGATGTGATCGGATGTTTTGCTGTAAGTTCTTTTTATATCCTTACTTGTGTTACAAAGTATTAATACTAGTTTTTTTCATGCCTTTAGTAGTATTCTTAAAGTAGTTGATCCTGTTCAATCTTTGCATGATGCAGTTGTCCAGATTTGTTTCTGATGTATGAATCTTCCTGAGTATTGCCATTATGTTAATAAGGACTGCATTTCTCTTGTGATAGAATTTTGATGGTGATGAAGTGGAACTCTCTTACTCAAAGAATGGACAAGAACTTGGAGTTGCTTTCAAGATCAGTAAGGAAGTTCTCTCTGGACAGTCTCTTTTCCCACATGTTCTCTGCCATAATTGCGCAGTTGAATTCAACTTTGGCCAGAAAGAGGAGCCCTACTTCCCCATACCAGAGGGGTACACTTTTATCCAAAATGTGCCCCTCGATGATAGAGTTAGAGGACCCAAGGGGCCAGAACACAAGAAAGAGTGTGAAGTAAGTATTGGTCCACTCAGAACAAAAAAAATCATAATTTAAGTATTACAGATAAATATCCACAATAAAAGGGGGAAAATTGGAGAAAAATCTGGAAATTTTCTTTTAAACAATTAGAATATTTAAGATTAAATGTTCGTTTATATCTTGCCCACCCCTTATTTCTACAAATCGTGTATCTTGTGGACATTTAGGAAAAACTGTCTACAATATTATTTATTAATTTACTGTGTTTACATACTGCTTTTCTCAACCCTGAGGGGGACTCAAAGTGGTTTCCAGCATTAAACCGCACTGAGTCGCCTACAAATAAAGTAAATAAATAAGTAAATAAATAAATTAAAGTGGCAAAATTCAATGTCGTACATACATGTGAAAACCAAAACACAATTTCTAGACAATAACATACTATAAACCTTAACCATATTACACATATCAGCATAAAACAGCATATATATATTAAAATTGCATCATTAAAACATATCAATTAAAACAGTTATTTAAAATCACAATATCCTGCATCTCTTCCGTTCCTGGCATTGATTTTTTTCTTTATTTTTATTGAATTCGTGCTTGACTATAGAAGACTTGAAGAGAAAATGTGAAATTTTCTTCGGTTTCTCTTTTGTTGTGGGTTTTTTGTTTCGTTGGGAAACGTGGGAAAACGAGAGAAGTTCCCTATAGTTCAGTTTTTCTTTTAACAGTTCAAGGTCTTAAAGCTCATTTGTAACAAAAAATGAATTTAAGAAATGCAAACTGAATATTTAATGTCTTAAACATGATACTTATGCCAGGTCAGGTTACGCCATGATGCATGTTACATGATTCAGGAATGTTGACTTTTAATACCTTAATAGGTGCTTTTAGATTTTTAAAATATATTCCCCCCCCCCCCAAAAAAAAATTGGGTGGGGCAACCTTTTTCAGAATTCTTGGACACGTTATATATTTAGTCAGCTTGCCACAGTGCTGTATGATTTTTAACCATATTGATTTCTAAGCTTGAACTTGAAGTAGCTCAAAGGTAGCACATTGTTTACTTCCTTATTCTCTAAATTCTGATCAGGTAATAATGATGATTGGCTTACCTGGAGCTGGCAAGACTACATGGGTCACCAAACATGCTGCAGAAAATCCTGGGAAGTACAACATCCTTGGAACAAATACTATCATGGATAAAATGATGGTAAGTTCTGACTACTCCATTGTTAGCTTGCCATCTCTTTTCTGCCATGTTCAGTTTTTGAAATTGCAGGCTTGCGGTTTTGTTTGAGGGAAAATTTTGGCCATTAAATTAGTAATAAGAAAGGTTAATGGCCTTTAATTTATTGTAGGCTTTTGTTCATAGACTGATAGTATGATAGAGGCACTAATGATAACTTCCCACACATACTCAGACTCAATTCATTTCCAGTTCTAGTTAAACTCTGGCCTGATTATAAAACGTGATCTTAAAATAAGTTGTTCAAGTGCCGGAATATGTGTGGTATTCCAACATACTTTCTTACAACATACTCTCCGTAAGAACATGAGAAAAAGCTGGACATTTAACGATAGGGTGAATTCGTCTGGCATGTTTAATTCTTAATGGTTGGTCTCTTGTGAAACAAAAGGTTGGATAACATAGCCCCTTGGTTCTTGAACTTTCAGAAATACATGCTATTGATTAAAATGATGTAAATAATGGGAATGAACGTTGGGTGACTTTTTAAAAATAGGTTGCAGGTTTTAAGCGGCAGATGGCAGATACTGGAAAACTTAACACACTGCTGCAGAGAGCCCCACAGTGTCTTGGCAAGTTCATTGAAATTGCAGCTCGTAAGAAACGGAACTTCATTCTGGATCAGGTATGGGGACCAGAGTTCTGTTATGTAAAATACAGTTAAACTGCAGTTTGTGTAAGGGGTGGGTGTTGTAAACATTAGTGGGAGAATTTGTATTTAAGTCATAACATTGACAATTATAATAATTACGCTAATGTTCATAATATACTTGAAATTGGGGAGAATTGTTACTTTAGCATTTAGGACCTAACATGTACATAACGTCCTTCAACTTGTAATCTTCATTGTATTATACCTGTGGAGGTGAAAAATCTAAGCACACTAATTTAACTTAGCTCTAACAATGACAGCTACGTGTAGTAAGTTACTGCATTTTTTTCAGACAAATGTGTCTGCAGCTGCGCAGAGGAGAAAAATGTGCCTGTTTGCAGGCTTCCAGCGCAAAGCAGTTGTTGTTTGCCCAAAAGATGAAGACTACAAGCAAAGAACACAAAAGAAGGCAGAGGTGGAGGGAAAAGATCTTCCAGAGCATGCAGTGCTCAAAATGAAAGGCATGGAACATAATCTATACTGTGTTCTAGGATGTTGCGTATCTGTTTAAAGGAATAATGTAAAATCTAAAGATTCAAAATTTCTTTGCCTTAAAACAGTTAATGCCTCTTTAAAAAAAAACTGGAAGACTTCTGTAACTTTGTAAGACCACACTATATTGTGTTCCCTCTGCTGCAGTCCTTAACACTTACTCAGTCATGATATGCTTCATGCAGATGCACAAAGCTGTCTTGGCATAAAGTGCCCTAGAAAAAAAAGCTAAACATGTTCAGCAAAACATGTGTTTCCCAGTACATATTGGATAGGGAGAATATTTCAAGAAGATTGCTCCTAGTTTCCTAAGTGATTACCTGTCTTACATTCCTTTTATAGAGGAGGGGAACATTGGCTTATTCTAATGGATTTAGAAATAAATACTGAATATTCGGGGCTCTCTGTCTTGTAGGAAATTTTACTCTGCCTGAGGTGTCAGAATGCTTTGATGAAATCAACTACGTAGAGTTGCAAAAAGACGAGGCCCAGAAGCTTCTGGAGCAATACAAGGAAGAAAGCAAGAAAGCCCTCCCTCCAGAAAAAAAGCAAAACACTGGCTCAAAGAAGAGTAATAAAAAAAGTAATAAAAACCAGTTTAACAGAGGTGGACAGAGAGGACGTGGTGGATTTAACATGCGTGGCAACTTCAGAGGAGGAGGTAGACTGGATTACTAAACTTTGCCTCTTTTGTATTTTCAGGTTATATGGGGATGGGACACAAGGGGCTTGAAATGCTTATCTCAAAAGAAAGAGCTGCACTGACAGTAGAAGTAATTAATCTTCATGCTAGGAAAAATAGTCAGTGAAATGCTACACAAATAACATTGGAAGCCAAACTTGCATACAATTGTAGGTATTAACAAAATAAATTCGTATAATAGCAGTGACAGTTTTGTGATTTGATGCCTGGAGTAAAGATTGTGGGGTGAGGGGGGATTTGGTTGAATTATGTGTACAGTGCAGTGTGACTTACTAATTTTTCTCACTGTATATTTATCCCTTAAACAACGCTGTTTTGGGAAGTTTAATCATATTTTACAGATGTATTTTAGAGCCTTTTAAAACAGCTGAACTCTACCTTTCATGTTCAGCTTTCACAGTATAGTAAGCCAGTCTTGTTCTGGGATACAAAATTGAATAGTGAAGGGCAGTGAGTAGGGATTGTGAGCCCCTGGAAGCAGAGACCAAGCTAATTAAATGTTTCAGCAGTGCTAACTTGTTTTCTTGCAGTCCCTGGAAATCGTGGCGGATACAATAGAAGAGGTGGCAACATGCCCCAGCGTGGAGGTGGTGGCAGTGGTGGGGCCATAGGTTATCCATATCCCCGTGGACCTGTTTTCCCAGCCAGAGGTGGTGGTGGAGGAGGCGGTGGCGGTTATACAAACAGAGGAAATTACAGCAGAGGTGGAATGCCTAACAGAGGGAATTACAACCAGGTATATATATTTATAGTGCTAGTACAATCTCAGTTTTGTGCTGTTTTATAGCAAATAATCTGAAAATGTTAAATGAAGTGTATTCCAACTAGATTTTCTGTAGTTGCCTGTGTTTTATTCCATTAGCTGAACCTGTTTGGCCTGAGTGGTATTCAGTGAAGTTGTTTTGGACCACTTTTTTGTATTTTTCAATTTGGGAAAGGAATTTCTCTGACTGGTGCAACTTGTAAAAGATTGGAGAGGTTGAAAATTGGCTTGACTTAGGGTCCCCCTTCCCAAGTACTAACCAGAACAGATCCTGCTTAGCTCATCAGATGGGATCAGAAACAGTATTTATAGATATAATAACCTTGTACAGAACTTTGATTCTCCTTAAATGATGATTTTGCTATTTGACTTTTAACCAACCTTTTGTCAAATGATTAACAAGGAATTTCTTGTGGTTTTTTTGCGGTAGAACTTCAGAGGAAGGGGAAACAATCGTGGCTACAAAAACCAATCTCAGGGCTACAACCAGTGGCAGCAGGGTGTAAGTAACCTTTTTCATTTTGTATTAAGTTGAATACAATCTCGAGCAGTATTCTTTCAGTATATTCACGGAAATCCTGATACAAATATATAAGAGGAGAAATACTTAGATCCAAAATGAAATTGATGGTGCAGGAACACTACAAGAGGATTGACCCTTCGAATTAACCTTAGCATCCGTTTGGAAGGAGATCTTTTGGGGAGAGCCTCCAAAGGAGGTTTTTAAAAATGGTAGTTGGAAATAGACAAGGAAGGCCACTGCTTCTCCTAATGCCGTTGACTGATTTATTGCACTGGGTGTAATATAGGTATATTATAAGTGGTGGAACTTAACCACCATAACTCCTCTTCCTGCCTTGTTTTATTAATCAGAATTAATTTTCTCCTGGTTTTGAATGAGGATTGGTATTAACTAGCTTCATCTTTGTTCTCTTGCAGCAATTCTGGGATCAGAAGCCATGGAGTCAGCATTATCACCAAGGATATTATTGAATTCCCAAATAAAATGAACTGATCCATATTTCTTCAAAACCTTCACAAGAAATCGACTGTTTTCTTTAGTAGGCTAACTTTTTAAACATTCCACAAGAGGAAGTGCCTGCAGGTTCCTTTTTTAGAAGCTTTGTGGGTTTTGATTTTTTTTGTACATTTTTAATTGCAGTTTTAAAGTGAATCTTAAGAGAACCTCAGCATTGTGCACGATAAGAGAATGTGTCAGTATTTCAGGGTTCTACATTTTATCTGTAAAATGTGATTTTTTTTACCACAACAAAAGTAAAATGTTGCTTTGTATCTGGTGTCCTCTTATTAAAGGTTTTCTTTTCTCTTTTTTTCTCTTCCCCTCCCAAATTTCTAAGAAACAGTCGTGAGTCATTAAAACAGAACAGTCAGCAACCAGGCTTTTTTTTAGCCCCCCATGAATATTAATACTGTGTAAATAATGCTCATTACACTCCATCTTCCACTCCATCCTCTCTATGCAGTTTCTAGGTATGGAAGAGGGAAAGAAATCAGAGTAGTCTTTTGGCAATAAACCGGGGTGTATTTTTGATTTTTTTTAATTTGGCGAATGGTTTTTGAGGGGGCAAAGCAAACCTAAAGCTAAATAGTGAAGGTGGAGTGCATGTAAAACCTGGTTGCATTTGTCTGTAGAGACTCAACTTGTGAAGGTACACACCATCAACTTTTTTCCATTTGTTCTGCATTTTTGATTCTGAAAAAGCTGGCTCTGCCCATTTCTTATTAAACAAACTTGTTGTAAATCCAGTTGTCTAATGGGATCTATATGAAGTTAGCTGTGTGTCTGTAACCTTTTCCCCACAAATACTATGTATTTAGTGTGCTTGTAGTAGTAAACTCCACCATTTTGTAAACAGATGAAATTGTGATTCACCCATTTTATATCTAATTTTAATCATGTTAGTTTTCAGATGGGTGTATCTCTTTAGCCTGCTGATTTACTTCTCTAAAGAAAGTAGGTGGAAAAAAATAACCTTAGCCGTTTGCAATAAAATAAAAACATTTTACTCTTGTTCTGGGATTCTCACCACATTGGTCTAAAATCCCTTTAATGGCAGAAGGAAGGATATACAAATGCACAGAGAGTTGTATATACACCACATACATACTTTCACCCAAGGAGAAGTATTTGGTTCAGCGTGTAAGCAATGGCCACATTTGGAATTGTATGCTTTCTCCTCAGGAGCACAGTGAGCCTTGCCCCAAATGCTTTCTTTATTGTAGCATTTGATGCAAACATGTTGAATAGTATTCCAGAAACCTTGTAAGGATGAGTACAAATGAGAAATACAATGTTAATGGTGGCTAACCTGCTCCAGTGGAGGGAATACCTGTATCAGACCTGCAAGTCACTTGGGGAGTTGGGGAGGCATGATGGGATGTGAACTGCATGCCTGTTACTTTTTGCTCTGCTGTTTTAATCTAGAAGTTGGTTGCTTAGATGGAAGGGTGGGGGAAGAGGGGAAAACATCTAATTTGAGAACACATGACAGTTGTTCAAAAATGGGAGGGGGCACTGTGATTTGCAGCTCAGGGGCCTACACCCCAGTGAAGTTTACCAGCCCTGACTACCAGAAACTCCTGACGTATGATTAGTATGTAGTTGTTAATACATTGCAGGGTGGGGCCATGAACTCTGAACTACCCATCTCAAAATTCCAAATCCTGGACAAAGATTACGCCCAGAAAACCTGTTTTCTTTTGCATTTAAACTCAAAATGGTGACAAGAAGTGTCTGGTTGCCTTTCTGAGGGACTGCAGAGAAAAAAGGTAATATTTGGTTTTACTGTGGGAAACAGTGTATCTGCCGTATTGCACACTATCAGCAGATGTAGCCCGTTGGGTTCTCTAAACAAAATATGGGTAGATGTGGCAAAACCACTTGAGCATCTCTTGCCTAAGAAAACCTTATGAAATTCATGAGATTGCCCTAAATCAACAGGCAAATTTCATAGGTATGAAGGCAGTACAATCTCAGTTATGATTTTATTGAGTATAAAGAGGTACAGAGAATCACTGTTTATTAATATTTTGATAGAAACCCATTAACCGCTATTGAGGCTTCAATGAGCCGATATCTAGCAACATCTAGACAATGTCTCCCCACTCTGGGTTTTGATCATTCAAAAGCAAAGGATGGGTAAATCTATGCCATTGCAGAAACATGACAGATGGCTTATACCTGGTTTCAGTAGCTGGGAGTCCTACTTGAGGTTGGTGTAAGCAATTTTGGAGCTGCATCTTTGCATCCCACCCTTGCAGTGATTTCTACCCTCATTGCCTCTGCCACAATTATTTTCAAACTGGTTTAGTCACAGCTGCCACTTTCTGTATTCCATAGTAACCTTCCCATTCCATTCTGTTCCAGATTATAAAATGAGACAGGCACCCTTCAAATTCTTCTATAGAAGTTAAGCAAATGAATAACTTGTATTGTGCCAGAGTGGTCTTTTATTACTTGTCAAGGCATTTTGGTCTTTTGGTTGTTACTGAGTGCCTTCAGGCCACTTCTGGCTTCAGACCCACCCTAATGTGTCCCTATCACAAGGTTTTCTTGACAAGGTTTCTTCAGGGAAGGTTTGCCTTTGACTTTTAGATCCTGAGAAAGAGTGATTTGTCCAGGGTCAAGTGGCTTCAGAATAACTAATGGGCAGTAGACAGCAGTTGAGCTTTAAGGCAAATGAGAAGACCTGGTTTAAGATGTTTGAAAATGTTATTTTATTAAATTTAACGGTGTGGTCTGGGGAAACCAGAATTGAACCAATGTGTGGTCTTGGTAGCATGTGAGCCATGCCTTTCTGTTATGGCAAGGTCTGAACTTTGTACAACTTTTTTCAAGATGCTAATGGGGTTGGTTTCTTGCTGGGGTTTCCAAACAGGCCAATGATAGTGATAATCCATCATTTAATACATGTGGAAATGCTGTAGCACATATAGACATCACTGTCTTTAAAATGCGAACAGTATCTAAACAAACATGTTTTACCCTTCTGAACCATTTGAGCAGGATAATTGCGGCTTTCTACATATTAGGGCTATAGTTTCATTTATGTGTGCAAAATTGTGATATTAGAAAGAATTGTGGTATTTCTGCTCAACTGTAACACTTAAGGATTGAAGAGAACCCTTGCTGTAATGCCCAGGATGTTGCTATCTGAATCAAATTGTTTGTCCCCACTAGTCTCACTAAAGCAAGAACTTGGTAGTCATTTATATGCCAGAGGATTTAACTAAAGCTCTTGTTAAGTCTCTCAATCTTGGGGCTTCCATTAGACTAAGTCAACTTTCAAATGCAGTGTAAGTAGTTAATAACAAGAAACAAATTACTTAGCTGTGACTAACAATTTGGGCTCAATGATGCCGTTACCTTAGCAACTACTGAATTCCAGTATTTATTTAACCAGTATGGCTCCTTGATTTTATTTCTGCATTGTATATCCGCTTTCCACTTTCAGAAACCTGGATATGGTCATAAGTCTCACATGTATTATGTGTATTTTAGAAAATGAGGAATTGGCCATAGTTTGTTTTTAGCAATGCTTGGGAGAGTCCCAGATGCAATCCTGTTAACAATACCCGGTAGAACCTTATTTTGTCACCTGCAGCCTCCCAGTTGCTATCTTAAGGGTAGTAAAATGCAGATTCCTTAGTTTAACATTAATCACATTTACCTTGCATTCTGCATCTCTGCTTTGTTTACTCTTGCTTGATGATGAGTTCTAAAGGACTCAAATGCTTGCACAGTATTTTGTGACCTGTTTGCTTAATAAAGATATTGCCCTTACATGGATTTTGAATTTAGAATCTTTTGATAAGCACTACTCTTTAGCTACATAGCTAAAGAATATTTAAATATTTTGATGTATTGTCATGGAGAGTGGCTAAGTAGAGAGAAAGTGAAATGACTGGGTGTTTGTTTTTTTTCATCAAATCCTGTAAAGGATGTGGACAATTGAGGAAATCTGTTATTCTTTTAGTATGATCTTATAAGCAGTAATTTTCAGGATAATCATGTTAGTCTGTTGCATCAAAAAGAAACATCATATGGAACTAAAGACCAACTTATTTACTAAGGCATAAGCTTTCAAGTATGCTTCAGAATTAAAATAAAAGGTTATTTTACGGAAGCTTATGTTGTTACAAACATGAGGCTGGCATCCTATTCAGTGGTTATGAGATCTCAATCTGGACTTATGATCTCATAATTGTTGGGCATTAACAGTTATAGTCATTAATGGCTCAAGGTGTTCCCATCTTTTCAGTCTGGCAATGTCTCAACCAATAGATTTACAGGATCTCAGCTACTAATCTTTAATATCTCAGTACTTGTTTAGGGATAGTAAGTTTCCTTTAACACTGTATTTTCATAGTTCATTATTTATGAACTATGATTATTAAATATTATTATTTAATAATATGAAGGCATTTCCCTTACTTTATGTACAGGTTGAGCGTCCTTTTTCCTGAATTGTGCAATCCAAAACATTTCAAAATTTATCACTGTCCACATGACTGGTTGAGATAGTGACATTTTTGCTTTCTGATGGCTCAATATAAATAGTTTGTTTCGTGCACAAAGCTATTAAAAGTAATGTATAAAATTATCTTCAGGCTATATGTATAAAGTGTATATGAAATATAAATTAATTTTGTGTTGAAACTTGGCTCCTATCTCCAACATATTTCATTAAGTACATACAAATAAATGCAGGTATTTCAAAATCTGAAAAAAAATCAAAACACGGTCCCAGGCATTTTGGGATGACATACCTAAACTATGTTAATAGAGGATGTTTGCAAAGCCCCAAAAACTTAAACAACACAAAACATGGAGGTATAGAGAATGATGAGTAACAAACACTTGCAATTTATCAAACCTTGATTTGAAGAAATCAGCATAGATCAAGGCAGATCAAGTACAATCTAGGAAACCCAAATCCTCCACTGCACAAACCTCTTCAGTGCAAGCCGAGTTACAGCCAGTCGCTTAAACTATATAGCTAAAGGTATCTACTGTCCTGAGCATCCATGGGGAGACAGGGCAGGATATAACGTTTTTTAAAAATTATTTATTATCTAAATAATATCTGTTACTGTGCCATCAAGTCCTTGACTTATAGTGACTCAAGCAAACCTATTATGGGGTCTTCTTGGCAAGGAGTGTCCATGGCAAAGGGGATTTCTACTCTGGATTCTAGTCCAACACTCACTACTTCACCATGCCGGTTCTTAATAATAACCATTGTGCAAACATTTTTCTTTTTTTCTGCTTCTCAGCCATGGCGTTCAAAGTTTGCTTTGCAAGAGTGTTCTATTAGGAGTACCTACTAGATTAAAAATGAGCAATTTTTCTACATGCTTTGAAAATCTTTATTCTAATCTTTAACAAATTCCTCTGAAGCAGCCCTAGTACATACCAATTGCTTTTAGTTTTGTGCAGCACCTACTCACCACAGAACTGGTAGGTGAGGTTGCTGGACAAAAGAGGAGCAGAAATAGCAGATACACCAGGTTATGAGGTTTTTTAAAAAAGATTTGAAACAAACAGCAAGATCTTCAGCATAATTCTAGTATTATTTATTAGCATACTTGAGTGCTCTGCAGATGGTTGTGTACACTGCTGTGCAATAGACACGTTTGTTGGAAAGTCCTACTGAGTCACAGCAATGTTAAAACTTTAGTTCATCCAAACTCACTCACAAGTGAGTCGTTTTAAAGAAGCAACTAAGGTCAGAAGATGGGACAAATGACTGGAAGACATGATTATCAATAACTAGTCACAACACATATCAAAGGCAGTATGCCTCTTGGGGAACGGTCTACTCATATCCTACTGAGCTTCACATAAATCATTACGTATGATATGGTTTGTTCCAATCTACTCCAGCTCTCAATAAAAAAATCAGGCACTCAACAATCAGCTTACAGAACAGCATATGTGATTATGATATCTCACAACATTCAACATAGATCTCAATTTGTCTTCTTAAAAATGAATATTTTATATTCTAAGCTATACTGAAAACATGAAATATAGAGAACAATCTCTTCAGTTAAACACATATTTTGATAAACTACAAAAATCATTAAAGGTATATCTAGATTGTATTATTACAAGCTGTTTAGGCTCAAAAGCAATCTCTGCAAACAAATGGTCACTTTTTTTGATGAAAGTGTTTGCAGAGGTGTATGTTCAAAAACAGCACAAAACAGTAGCTTGTCTCTAAGAGTTATTACAACAAGAAGAAAAAGGGATGCTCCCCTCACAGTTCTTTGAGTTGGGATTATGGCATCTTTGTTCAGATTCCTCTTTCATGCCACCTTTTTTACACAATGTTCTTCTTGAAACACTACTATGTCAAATTTTACTAGAGATAGAAAATGCCTCTTTAAACATACTTCTGTAGAAGCAACATAGATAGGCACAAGAGATGTATACAATTATATTAAAGAAAAATAAATAAATAAACCAGAATTCTTTAGTATCTTGTAGTGATCTAAACTTTGGTGTTGTAGCAACAGCCCATTTGAGGGAGATTTTATGTAGCACTGTTCTCTTGCGCAGAGCAATGGTAAAAAAAAAAGAGGTCTTGTATGATCACCTGACAAAGCACATGTAAATAAGCACAATATGACAGGATGCAAGTTTCCAATTGAGCTGGAGACATAAAGAATTTAGTTCTATCCCATTTTGATCTACTCGGAGGCAAGCCCCACCAAGTTTAATCAAATATGGTTTCTGGTTAGGCCAGAGAATGAAGAAGGGAATAAATTAAACATTTAAATAAATTTAATTTATTCCCTTCTTAGGTATTGCAGCCAAACTCTAATTTGATGTCGTTGCTATCATTATCACTGAAAACTCTGAACACTGAAAACACTGAAGCTATTCATCCTGATTAAGTACTTTCTTGTTAGATTTTGCCAATCTGAAGCAGATCAGGTTTTCCCTCTAAAAACAGCTGCACATACATCAAAGGTGAAACATGAATAAAAGTGAAACACAAACTGGGTCTTGAAAATAAGCCACTTGGTTAGGAGGACCTGTTAAGTGACATAAGCAGCAAGAAAGTCCCATGATTTCTTGGTTTTGGTTTCATAAAAGTTAAAAATAATAATTGCAATTTCTTAATAATTATTATGAAAACTACGAACGACTTTCTTCAGTGTTTTTCATTGTCTTCTTCTCTGGATCAAATTGGGTGCTTTCATACAAAATCTTGTTTCTAATCCCTTCTTGAATCATGCGTTGCTGAATTCTTAATTTTGCATTATTGTACCTACAATAGGTCCTTAAGAAAGAAAAACAAAAAAATGCATGATTTCCTTTCTTACTGCACAGAATAAACATTTTAACACTCATCCAGACTTTATCATACCATGTTGTGCAGAGATTATGGAAATGTTCTACAGATTTCCTCTGCTAATAGGATTGCATAAATAAGTTGATGCTTGTGTACCTCTGATTTTCAAATTGGGCTCTGAGATCTGGAAAATCCCTTCCATCCCATATATTCTTGATGGCACAACTATATGTTGTTTGGATTACATTCAACATCCTCACCCAGCAGCTCAAGGTGCCTTGGAATGCCTACCATGTTCCTTTCTGCTTCCACCCATTAGTAAAAATGATATTAATGGAAAAGAAGACATTTCTATATAAAATACTAAAGCTGTCTTCTGCAGTAAGGAAATCAGAAAACAGATCGAGATGGAAAAAAGGAACAAAATGTTATAACCGGTACCAATACCAAGATATCTGACATGAACCTGAGTTGATGAATATATTTATTTACGCAAATTAAAAAAGTGCTAGACAATGAGTGCTAAATATCCTGTGGGAGAAGCAGATCTTTCTTTAGGTATAGCTTGGTATGTTATGTAATTTAAAATATATTTTTCAGCATGTATATGGCTGTAAGTGTATGTACCCAAATAATAGGATGCTTCATAGATACAGGAACATAATACACACCAACATCCCAGAGTTGTCAGGATAAAACCTCCCATTCCAAAGTGACAGGATCGTCTCACTCTGCCTGAGTGGAGGAAAAGATGAGCTTATTTATATTCAAGTGTGTTGATAGTAATAGCAATTAGCAACATAAGGAAAAAGCAAAACGTATTTAGGAAATATTTGAATGTTAGATTCCAAATTTAAAGGCAGCTGTTCTGTAGGACACACATGATGGTTGTACAGAGATCAGGGCAATTGTGTTGAACCACTGAATAAAATTACAAACGACAAGCATACTCGCATCAGATAACACTAAGAAAGTGGAATAAAGGACAATATAGTGGGTATTTCTTACAGATATATAAAAGTGCAGGCCCAGTAGATGTTGGGAGCAAGACATACAGCTTCTAATTACTAAAATTGACTAAAATTAATCAACCTCAGTTGTCAAGCTATATTTATGAATTATCCAGTTGTTGGAAGTTCAAAGAACTATCAATTTACACATTTTGTTAGGAAGATAGAAAGCAGGCAATGCTTTAAAATGTTGGCCATTAGTTATGCTAATTCTAAGTGTATTTGTTTCTTTACTCCCCAAAGTGAATGAATCCAGCGGGAGTCATGGAAATATAAAGAGAGTAACATACACAAGACTCATTATCCTTTGCTTTTACTTACTAGTTGCCAAAAAGTGTCCAAGGCCCACCGTGATGCCACCCAAAGATCCATAGAGCAATGATTCTCGAGCACAAGGGACATTTTTGACATCAAGTATTCCCAGCAGCTTAAAAGACTTGAAAGAAATTAAACACATTAACAGCCTCACAAAATAATTAACCCATTTTCTAGAAAGCAAGTGGTCCTTTTAAGTAGCTCTACAGAAGGGAGAACTGCAGCCTCTCCCTCCAAACTACAAGGACAGAAAAAGATGCACTTCAAAAAGTGCTTGGCATAATTATTGAAAAATAGCTTTGCCTTATGTTTTAATTACAACATACTAGGTTTTTGAAAGAAACACTTTTACTATGCTATCCTTAGAAAGTTTTATGGTTTGATGGCATCGCTTGCTCACTAGCAATGAAGATATCTTTATAATATGGATCAAATCACCTCAAGTCATTTGGAGAACCAACTCTCCACTACTCACTTTCGAGGTTAGAAAGGCTTGGTTAAAAATTATCAATGTGGAATACATAGTCAAGGATAGCTGTATGACAACATATTGGCTAATGGAAGCACATCATTGTGTATTCTATTGGATCACTGCTGGGGAAAGGATGCTATCAGAGCACTGGACTGTGAAGGACCATATTGTGGTGGTTCTGCCCATGTATAGAAAGTCCAGATTGTTCTGTCATTATATTTCAGATGACAGACAACTTCTGGAGGATTGGGGTGTCATATCAACAGCTGCGGATTACATCTAGTAATAGTGTGTGGACTGTGATGCACCACATAAGAGTAAATACAAAAAAATAAAAATAAAGTAATAACGTGCCAGAAATATGAGCAGTTCCTTAGAAGAAGGAATGGGTATATGGCTAGTTCTTATAATAGGGTTGCTCTCAAACAAAGTGCCAAGAGTGCCTCTTGCCAATGTAAGCTGCTATTACAATGTAGGATTTTTAAAAAGGTTATATATAAACATATAGTACACATAAATGCATAATTTGCCAAACATTTTTCTGACTTGTTGAATAGAAGAAGAAAAAGAACTACAATTTCTTCTATTCTAAAGACTAACCTTTGCAATCTTTTAGTGGGTAAGGGGATAAGGAAAGGGGATTGCTGAAAAATTCAACTTCCAATCTTCTCCACCATGGTCTGTGGGTTCCTTTCTAATTTCTTTGTCATTCCTCTTGAATGTTTTTCATTGGGTAACAATTTTTCTCTATTTTCAATTTGGTTCTATTATCAATTTTATTTTATTCTTGTTTCATATAGTATAAATAAATAAATAAAATCTTATTGGTGTCCAATCTGTTATTTTCTTATAGCCTTCTACATTGTTATTTAATAGTTGGGTTAGTTTGTCCATATTCATTATAGCCATTATTTTCGGGATCCATTGTTCTTTTGTGGGTGTTTCTTTTGTTCGCCAAAATCGGGCATATATTATTCTAGCTGACATCACAAAATAACTGAATAGTCTACATTTATTTATGTTGATTTCTACGTCTATGATTTCCTATAATAAATATTCCAATTTTAGCTGTATTTTTATATAAGTATCAACTGTATTGTTTCTCAGATTTCATTTCAAAATTTCTTGGCTATTTTACATGTCCACCACATGTGGAAAAAGATTTTGCCTTGATTTTTGCATTTCCAGCACTTATCTTGCACATTTGGGTAACATTTTGCTAATTAATGTGGTGTTATGTAACACTGATACATCATTTTGTACCAATTCTCTTTCAGATCATATGAATAAGTGAATTTAAATTTCTGGTTCCACATTTTTCCCATTCTTCTAGTTTGATTGTGCCCAATATTTGCAGCCCATTTAATCATGCAGTATTTCATGTATTCTGTTTCTGTCTACCATTCTAATAACTTTTTGTATATTTTAGTTATTAGTTTTTTGTCTGTCTTCATTATCTTGCCCCGGAAAGTGTCCTTATGTGGCTGAGGGGGAAAAGGAAGGGGCCTGAGGCTGTTGGGAATTGTGGGAATTGAAGTCCAAAACAAATTTGCCCATGCCTGCCCTATTCAAACTCCACAGACTTGTATAATGCAGTTTAACCGCACTGAATTGTATTACATGAGTCTACATTGACCATATACTGGTTCCGGCCCAGCTTACCTTTCCGAACGTATCTCTCCCTATGAACCATCCAGAAGTTTAAGATCATCTGGGGAGTCCCTGCTCTCGGTCCTGCCTTCTTGGCAGGCGCAATTGGCGGGGACGAGAGACAGGGCCTTCTCAGTGGTGGCCCTTCGGCTGTGCAACTCCCTACCTAGGGATATTTGATCAGCCCTCTCCCTCTTGACCTTCCGCAAAAAAGTGAAAACATGGCTATTCAAACAAGCCTTTGGAATCTAGTGCAAGTGAAAACATGGAAGTATGTGAAATGGAATATTGGAATGACTCTGACGATTATTTTTGGACAAAGAGACTAACAATGAAGGCATTGGTTTAATATGTTTTTAATTGTTCTCTTTTGTTACTAGCTGTCTCCTGCCACGCGTTGTTATGGCCCAGTCTGTTTGTGTTTTGCGTGTGTATATGTGTTTTGCGTGTGTGTGTGTGTGTATATATATATATATATATATATGGTTTTGCGCATGCGTTGTAATTTTTGTTTTTTGGCTTTTTAAGTCTCTTCTGCTATGTTTTTCCATGTTTTTATGAGTGATTGTTACACCTATCGTTGGCCTGATAGGTGTATTGTGTCCAAATTTGGTGTCAATTTGTCCAGTGGTTTTTGAGTTATGTTAATCCCACAAACGAACATTACATTTTTATTTATATAGATGTACTTTTAATTTTGTTTAAATGTTGTTTAGGCATTAAATGTTGTTAAGGCATCAAATGGTTGCCTGGTTGTAAGCTGCCTCGAATAACTTTTGGGTTCAAGAAAGGCGGGATAGAAATATCCTAAATAAATAAATATAGTTTCTGGGTTGTTGTAGGATTTTTCGAGCTATATGGCCATGGTCTAGAGGCAATGCCTCTAGATCATGGCCATATAGCCTGAAAAAACCTACAATAACCCAGTGATTCTGGCCAAGAAAGCCTTTGACAATAAATATAGTTTCAATCTGCATCACATGGCGGTGTAGATAAGGCCTTCTTAGACCAAGAACAGGCTGGGTCCCCTGCTGACACTGAAGCATCTCTCTATGAGTTCTCCCTTACAATTAGTTCTGCCCCCCTTATCTCACCCTGAGTTTTTAAAATCATTTTATGTACATGCAGCCTGATCTCTCTGTCATTATGTTTAGTTTCTATGTTCTGTGTATATTGCTTTAAATGTTTTTATGTTTTACACTTTAATGTTATGTTGTTTATTTTTCTGCAATTTGTATTTTTATATTGTAGTTTGTTTTTCGGGCTTGGCCCCATGTAAGCCACTCCGAGTCCCCGTTGGGGAGATGGTGGTGGGGTATAAATAAAGATTATTATCATTATTATTTCTAGGTGAAATTTCCAGGGTGCATCTACACTGCAGACTGCACGAGGTGTAATCCCACTTCAACAGCCACGGCTCAAGGCTATGGAATCATGGGGGTCGCAGTTTGGTGAGGAAAAAAGAACTCCAGACCTTGTAAAACTACAATTCCCAGGATTCCATAGCACTGAGCCAGGCCAGTTGCAGTGGAATGTTGATACACCCCAACTGTTGCCTCATACAAGCGTCCTGATACTCGCCTCCCTGCAAAACAAAACGAAACAAGCCATTTCCTTTAGGGGAGAAAAAACCCCACTCCCAGGTAAACCCAACAGAGGGCAGTTGTGAGGGGAAGATCCCCCGCTGACTGACCTTCGCCTGCTCCCCTCCCTGCTCGCCCGCCATGCCGAGCCAGGCCTCTCCTCTCTTCCCTCACGCTCAACCAGCGAGTGAGCTGCAGCAAGAGAGGCCTCGAGGCCTGGAAGCTGCCGCTCTAGCCACTCGCGCCTCCGTGGTGTGCGGAGAGAGGACGGGCGCCATTTTAGGTCCGCAGAGGAGATTTGTTAAGCGAGAATCCTTTGTTCAGTGAGATGGGTCACGGAGCAGCGCGCGCTCCCGATCCCGCGCGCCTCCTTCCTCCCTCCCTCCAGCGTATGTGTGCTCGCGCGCAGGTTCTTTGGGCTCCCTCGCGCCGCGCCTAGCATGCGCGCGCGCGCTACAAGCCACAAATGGCTGCTTTCTGAGGGATTTTTCCGAGCAAGAATGGCGGATGGCAGCGGCGCGCGCGCGCACCCGCCGAGCAGAATCCGGAGGGGGGGGGAGGGTTTGGTTGTGTGAGAGGAACGCGCCTCGAGGCACGTTTGTTTGTGGTGGGAATATAAATATAATACACCCTCTCACTGAGAAAGAAGCCTTGACCTGGTTGGAGAGTGAGGAAAGCACGAGGATCTGCGAATGGTTTTTTTTAAAATAAGGCAGTTCGGTTTGAGCCATGAGGGGAATCCCACCCACGTCAAAGCATCACAGAGAAGTCCTAGGCCTCACCTACACTGACCATAAATAGACAGAAGATGGTGACATAGGCAACCAGTCTGAGGCCCAGATGATGACTACACAAAGTACAGATTGCTTTCAGGCGCATTTTTGTAAGAGTTGGATATCTGACCCTCACCATAATTTGAGGCTAGCTTCAAACCGTGTTAAATGGTCAGTGTATTATTATTATTATTATTATTATTATTGTTATTATTATTATTATTATCTTTATTTATACCCTGCAAAATCTCCCGAAGGACTCGATGCGGCTTACAAAGGCCAAGGCCACCGACAAACAAGAACATACAATACACAATAAACTCATAAGCAAATAATAAAACATCAAGCAAAACAGTAAAACAATGACACCGTGACGCAATTAAAACCTAAAGGCCGGGCCAAATGTAATGGACAAAATTTAAAAAGTGCTGAACTTGTCAGGTAATATGTAGAGGTATTTGGAGGTAGGTGCAATGTGCAAACAATCCTGAATCTCTAGCAAGGTGCATTTGGGACTTGAAGCCAGGAGTTTCCTATTCTGGAAAAGCCAGGGTACCTGTGTAGATGGGCATACAGGTCTTTGGACCCTCTCAGCTAACAAAGGCCAGTGCCTCACCAAACAACATCGGGCCTTAGTTAAAATGGTGTCAAACTGCAGTAATTTAACAGCATGGAGAAATAATTGAGGCCTGGGCAAACTTGGGCCTCGGCTGAGGGGGAAAAGGAAAGGGCCCGAGGCAGGAATTGTGGGAGTTGAAGTCCAAAACACCAGGAAAGAAAGCCCAAGTTTGCCCAGGCCTGGATGAATTTCTCATCTAGTCGATATAGGGGTATTTTTAAAGTAAGGTCCGTTTTGTTGTAGACACTAGTAGTTCACGCGCATACTGCAACAAGTGCGTGCGTCGTGTACCGGCATGCCTCGGGAACAACTGTGCTCAGTTTCCGCTCTGTAGCTAACCTGTACGGTTCTATTCTGTGCTTTAAAAATGTTTAAGACTATGAACTCGCCCTCCGCATGTGAGATTCGCTCAGTGATACAGTTTTTGTCAGCAAGGAACCTGCCTGCTGCAGAAATTCATTGACAGATTTGTGAAGTGTACGGTGATACTGTTATGAGTGAAAGCAAAGTGCGTAAGTGGGTACGACAATTCAAAGATGGCTGTGACAATGTCCATGATGAGGACCGCTCCGGTTGCCCTCATTACCATGAGGCTTCGAGGCAACTGTGTAATAATGGTGAGGCCACAGACCATATTTTTATTCTTGTGGACTGCTGGTGGTCCATGGACCATAGGTTGGGAACCACTGTCCTACAGGAATGAATTCTGGGAAATGCTGAGATAACATGAGAAACGGCTGTAGAACAAAGTACAACTAAATTTATTTAATTATGTATTTCATTTTTATCCCACTCTTCTCACCCCTCAGGGACTCAGAGTGGCATACAACATACATCTAGGCAAAAATTCAATGCCTCATTATATAAACTATATAAAAATATCATAAAATCCCTAGAAATAATGGACTTATAAATACAATTTAAAACCATTACACATATTAAAACATAACCGCATACCCAAATAATGCATTATACCAATCCCTTAAGCACCCTACTAGGCCTGCTCCCGTCATGATCTTAAGGTCTTCTTTGGCTCTCTTGGATGGTGATTTGTGACGGCCCCTGCCGGCATCCTCCTTTTATGCCCCAGCCACTGGAGGCAGGAGATGTTTCTGCTGGGCCTTGCTTCAGCCAGGCAGTCAGGGCCTGAGTTTGTAAGGAGCCTGTAATTCGAAATATACACTACAGCGATACAACTTATTAGGTCCCTGAAAAGCACAGAATGTATCTACATTGTACATATCAAAGTCAGTGTGTATGTATGCTGTGTGTTTGTTTGTACCACAAAGGCTGTTGTTAGGTGAAGTGGCCCTCTGTGATGTCACTTGGAAAGGTGATGTGTACGAGGAGCAGAAAGGAAGGAGCCACAAAGAGAGCTTGTTCACCACTGCCATGGCAACATTGTAAAGTAAGCTGGAGAAGGGAAAAAGTAGGCAGGCAGTTGCTCCAACAACACACCTGGGCAATACAAAAAAATTAATCCAAAACATACAGTACAGTTACATTTTACTAGGGTAACAAAAAGACATATTATATGGGATGTCTAAAATGCGATGTCTTCAAATCTAGACTGAAGTAGCTAAACTGACTGAGACCACATCTGCAGTAACCATTTAATGCAGTTTCAAATCAGTATTGAAGAAAATTATTTTGCTATGCAGATGATTACACAGGAAATGCTGGAACTGGTTTGAGGCCTGAATGGTATTTATTTATTGTGTCAGGAGCGAACCAAAACAGTTGTATTGAATTAAAAAACAGACAAACAAACAAAACACAAAGTTTGCAGACTTGGTATTCTGTGAAATGTCCTTTAACAAGTAGCTGGCCACTTGGAGTGCTTCTGGTATTTCTGCAAGAAGGCCCTCTATTGTGCATGTGGCAGGGCTTAGGTTGCATTGCAGTAGGTGGTCTGTGGTTTGCTCTTCTCCACACTCGCAGGTTGTGGATTCCACTTTGTAGCCCTATTTCTGAAGGTTGGCTCTGCATCTCGTGGTGCCAGAGCGCAGTCTGTTCAGCGCCTTCCAAGTCGCCCAGTTTTCTGTGTGCCCAGGAGGGAGTCTCTCATCTGGTATCAGTCATTGATTGAGATTCTGGGTTTGAGCTTGCCACTTTTGGACTCTCGCTTGCTGAGGTGTTCCAGCGAGGGTCTCTGTAGATCTTAGAAAACTATTTCTTAATTTAAGTTGTTGGTGTCCTGGCTGATACCCAAACAGGGGGTGGGCCGGAGATGTCACTGTCTTGGTCCTTTCACTATTGGTTGCTACTTCCCGGCAGATGTCAGGTGGTGCAATACCAGCCTGAATGGTGATTGCATAAAGGAGTTACACATCAAGGGCTTTCTTTTGCACATTTTTATGGGGATTGTTGTTTGGCTAAATCTAAATTTGAACTGTCTTAGATGGTCAGTGTATATAGGGCCTAAGCCTCATTGTGTGGGGTTTTTTTTCCACTCCAAGGCCACTCTAATTTTATTGCATATTTTTTTTCTGTATTAATGTATTGTCGAAGGCTTTCATGGCTGGAATCACTAAGTTCTTGTGGGGTTTTTTGGGCTATATGGCCATGTTCTAGAGGCATTTCTCCTGATGCAGACGAAACGTCAGGAGAAATGCCTCTAGAACATGGCCATATAGCCCGAAAAATCCCACAAGAACTTAGCTTTTTCTGTTTGTTTCCCATCCACTTGAGACCCACAAGAGATATGATCTCTATCTGCATGGACTCTCCTAGAAAGCATTGTAAACAACACTTAAGGAAATGTCTTAAGCAAGACAAAGATCGATGACATAATAAACTCCCTTCCCCAATGTTTTATTACCCGAACTTGATCAGGAAGCCAATGTGAGGTCTGTTGTGGCTCAGTCTGAGCCTGAGCTTTCTGAACCTCAGGATGAAGAGGATGATGGGTTACAGGTTTCTGAACATGTTCTGGTTAGTGAGGCAGTTGAAACAGACAGTGTTGATTCTGAAGAAGAGACGGCATTTCTGTTCCCCAGAGAAAAGAATGTGGCTTTAGATAAAGATTGTGAAACTTCGGAGCTCCAGGTGGAGGCTCCTTCTGGGAGCTCCAGACCTCTTGTTTCCCAGGGTGACTAGGCCCGGCAGGGCGAAGATAATGAGCTAACTGGCCTTGAAGATAGGGGAGATTTGATTAGAGAGGACCGTTTGCAATTAAGAGTTCGGAGAAGTGCACGCCTTGCCAACAAGCGTGAAGCTAGAGGTCAACGTAATGCTTTCATGTTGGGGAAACTTATTTAATTATCTGGTCGAAGGGCATTCTCTGTCAGTCCAATGTTGCTTTTACCCTGTTAACTTCTGTGGAATTACCTTGGCTTTTGCGGGAAGCTTCTGGCTCTTTGGGACTTTGATTTTGTTCCTGATTTTTTGATACTTTGTCTTGCTGCCATGGACTATTGTTTAACTAATGCTAAAGGACTATGCTTCATGTTATTTGTCTTTGGAACCTGGGAACTTTGCTTTTGCATTTAAGACTCTGTATTGCTCAATGAACTTTACTTCTTTATTTCCCTGTTTTGATTTTGCTTTTTTCTCAATAAACTACAAAACCTACAGCCTTGGTGTGTGGTGTGTCTTGGGCAAGGTGAATCTATCCTGAGTTGCAATAGGTCGAATTTAGACTAGGAACATGGAGATGGAGGGTCCTGCCTGGCAAGCAATTACTCTAACAGCTCAAAGTCTCAGATTTGAGACTCACCAGGGTTAAGACAGCCACAGAAATTTTAATTACAATCTGGCCAGAAAGGATGCAAGTATAGCTAGCACCAAAAATGTACAAGCATTAAAATGAATACAGATAGCATGGATTTTAAAGGAGTTCCACTTTTATTCAATCTTCCCGCTCCCTCCCCAGATTGGCTTTGAGAAGGGGGAGCCTGGGCCTGCCCTCTGATTGGCTGGGCTCCGCTGATGTCACTGGTTCCAAGCGGATATTCTCTCCCAGCTGGAAAGGGGTGGCCATGGT